TTAACAAGTTGAAACATAAATATCATATGATCATATCAATAGATGCAGAAAAAGCATTTGGCACAATCCAGCATCCATTTATGATAAAAATTCAAAGTGAGAATAGAGGGAACATACTGTAACATAATTAAGGCCATATATGACAAATGTACAGCTAACATTATACTCAATGGAGAAAAGCTAAAAGCATTTTCTTTAATATCAAGAACAAGACATGGATGCCCACTTTCAGCAATTCTATTCCATATACTATCGGAATTCTTAGTAAAGCAATCAGACAAGAAAGAGAAATAAAAGGTATTCAAATTGGAAAGAAATAATTAAAACTCACATTGTTTGCAGATGATATGATACTGTTTAGAGGACCCTAAAGATTCTACAAAAAGAAAAAAACTGTTAGAACTGATAAATGAATTCAGTAATGTATCAATATACAAAATTAATATTCAGAAGTCGGTTGCATTGTTATATACCAATGATGAACTATCAGAAAGAGAAATGAAAATAATCCTATTTACAATTGCATTAAAAAACTATAAAATACCTGGGAATCAAATTAACCAAGGAGATAAAAGACCTGTTCTCAGAATAGTGTAAGTCATTGAAAAAAGAAATTGAAGAAGATCCAAATAAATGGAAACATATACTGTGCTCATGGGTAGGAAGAATCAACATCAATAAAATGTCCATACTACCCAAAGCAACCTATAGATTCAGTGCAATCGCTATCAAAATACCAATGGCATTTCTCAGAGAACTAGACAAATAATCCTATAATTTACATGGAGCCATAAAAAAATCCGAGTAGCCATGGCAATCTTGAGAAAGAAGAACAAAGTTGGAGGTATCGCACTACCTGATATCAAACTACACTACAAAGCTACTGTAATCAAAACTGCAATGTACTGGCATAAAAACAGATATATTGATCAATGAAACAGAATAAAATGCCTAGAAATAAATTCACTCTCATGTGCTCACTTAATATATAACAAAAAAGGCAAGAATACTCAATTGGGTAAACACAGCCTCTTCAATAGTGTTGAGAAAATTGGATGGATACATGCAAGAAAAGAAAAAAGAAACTGTACCACCTTCTTATGCCATATACAATAATAGACTCAAAACAGATTAAAGATTTAAATGTAAGACCCAAAAACATAAAACTTCTAGAAGTAAACATAGGCAGTAATCTCTCTGTTATTGTCACTAGTAATTTCTTTTCAGACATATCACCTTGGGCAGGGGAAACAACAGAAAAAATGAAGAAATGGGACTATATCAAACTAAAAAGGTATTGTACAGTATAAGAAACCATCAACAAAATGAAAAGACAACGTACTGAATGGGAGAATATATTCACTAATGATACATCTGATAAAGGGTGAATATCCAAATTACATAAAGAACTCATATAACTCAACAATAAGAAAAGCAAATCATGCAATTAAAAAAAGGGGCAGAAGACCTGAACAGATATTTCTCCAAAGAGGAAATACAGATGGCCAATAGACATATAAAAAGATGCTCAAGATCACTAATCATCAGATAATTATAAATTAAATCCACAATGGGGGTAATAGTCAAAATGGCCAAAATGATAGAGGCTTCATTTATTTGCTCTTATGATCACATCAAAGTTGTGAGAGAAACACAGAGCAAACAGCAAACAGTGTCACCTGGGGTCTAGATGAATAAGCCTTAAAACTATGGAGAGAAATAAGAAATTGCCCTCAACAGGAGGAGGTAGAACAGGGCTAGTATATGAGGCTGCCCGGCCCCAAGCTTCTGAGTGGTACAGAGGCTACAGCACCCAGCAGCTGCAGACAACTCTTAAAGGGGCTGTGTCCATGACCGAACTTTGGTGGTGATAGATTTGCTTGCTCTGAGCATCAGCACTGGGTCACCTGCTTCGGGAGGCACCGTAGACATACACAGCAATGCTGAATTGTCTGAGAAAGCGCTAGAGGCAAGGCTTTTCCCAGGCAGAAGTACAGGCAGTATCCATCGTTCCTCTGTGGAGTCCCCACCTCTCCAAGTGTGCAGACACAGCACCACCATAGCTGAGATGTCATCACACTGGATAACAGAGGTCACTCCACCCAGAGGATTCCCAGAAACTCCACCTCACCAACTCATGGCCCCACTCAAGCCACATACAGTTGTATCCTTATGAAACTGTGCAATTTGCACAGCAAGCTCCAAGACCCACACTGGTGGCAGCTGACCTCATTTTCTGGCATGGTTCCTAAAGGCAACTTTAGGTACAGTATCTGTGGATTGCTTGCTGAATCTTAACAGGTGGCCCGAGAGGGACACAGATTTGGGCTAAACTTGGCCTGCAGCTGAACCTCTCTCAGGACTTTTCCACTGGACGCCTATTACACAGAGCCACACTAAGAAGACCAGGAGACTTAGGAACTTTGCTTAATACATAAAAATAGACACAGAAAGGCAGCAAAAATGAGAAGACAAAGAAGCAGGAACCATATGAAAGAACAGAACAGAGATCCAAGAATAATGGATTCAAGCAATCTAACACATGCAGAGTTCAAAACAATGGTTATAAAAATGCTCAATGAACTTGGGGGAAGTGTAGAAGGACTCAGTGAGAACTTTAACAAA